TATATACATACATACACATACATATCTCTCGCTCTCTCTCGCCATATATACGTATACGCACACACACACACACGCACGCGCATGCGCACACATACACCGCAAGCAGGAACGCTTTCCCTGCCGGCCGCAAGCGCTTTCCACGACAGTGCAATTAAGCAGTGAAACACACTTGGGTAGCGGGCATGGAACATTCTGCAATGCTGGCACCAGTTTCTGGCCCAGTCAGTTCGAGCCAATACAAGCCGCAAAGGCAAATCACTGGCAATTTCGCTGCTGATGTGCTCCGTGCGCCGTGGTGGCTGCTGCTCGCATTACACTGGATCTTTGGGGGAGAAGGAGTTCACTAACTGGTGTGCAACCCCGACTGTTACATGTTAGCTGCTAACATCATGTCATTAAAACTCAGCGTGCCGCGAATCAGTTGCCATGACATGGTAGCTCTCAGTATTTTCCGGAAATGGTGAACCACTGAACAACGCAAATCTCTCCGAGGCCCTCGTGAGTGCAACTAATGTCAGCAGAACTTCTGTGCGTTCGTTGTGATGCATTTTCCCTTCTTTGCTTTTGCGTAGAGGAAGTAGAACAGGGGCCACTATCATAGATGCTGGGGACTATACGAGAACCATCTTACAAATAGAAAAGGGTCAGTCTAGTCATTCTAGTATAAGCACATAGGGACACAAGCGGGAAGAATAATGTTTCACACATCTTCAGGCAGGCCCTGCTGTGACTCGCAGAACACCTAAGATCCAGGCTCGACGAGACCGGGGAGGACGTCATCCTGCAGGCTTCAGTTCGCAGGGATCATGAGCGGCACTCCTTCCGAGAATGGATGTGAATGTATGAAAGACATGTGTGTTCATGTATGTCAGTAAGTAGGTATGTAATTTATGTCTGCATGTAAGTACGAACGTATGTATGTACGTCTATTGTAATCTATATGTCTGTCTGTCTGTCTGCCTGTCTTTTTGTCTGTCTGTTTTTGTATGTATGTGCAAATTTGTAGACATGCATATGGGCATGTAAATACAATATGGTTATAGATATGTATATGCATAAATAAATAAGTATATATATATATATATGTGTGTGTGTGTGCGCGTGTTCGAAGATTTTATACAGAGAGACGCACACGTAAACACGGACATGCAGATGTATGTACCTACATACATGCCTTTAATGCGTACCGGCGTACATTCATACACACATACACATACAGGACGGACGGACGGACAGATGGACTGACATACTCCCATGCCTATACATACCTAAGACATCCATACATGTAAGTGGCTTTAGAGCGGGGAAGAGACGAGTGACAGGGAGACAGAGGCAGTAGCTACTCACGTCGCGATATGTGGGAGCTTCGGCCCTAGTCTGGTGAGAGACAGAGCAACAAGGAAGCAGCAAGCCGCCACATGGACGATCCGTGGACGGGGTTGCCTCCACTCGGTGTTAAACAGTGCTAGCAGGTGGAAAGAAAGCATGGTATCATCGGTGTGAGGGTATGAGGGGTTCTGGGTTTAGGAATTTGTGCAAGAAGACACGGCTCTCTCCCAGAACCCAATCCGAAACCCGGAGCAAGAGGCTTGACGGACCCTGAGCCAGGTCTTCAGCTTTTGCTCCCCTCCTTCTCAGCTGCGCCTGGCCAGCTTGGGGCGCGGCTGGCGCCGCGCATCCCAGACAAGGGAGGCTGCCGGGCTCTCTTCTTTCTCTCGTCATAGGGTTTAAGGACGGGTGGGGTTTAGGAATTGACTTCAGGGTAGAGGGTTCAGGGACATTAGGGTTTATACTGTGGGGTTTAATTTTGACGGCTGCTTAGTGTGTAGACCGCCCTCCATGCAAAAGGGCTGTCTACTGACTAGTGACTAGTGGTAGCCCCCCAAAGCAAAGTATATGTCTGTGGGGAGACCCTTTGCGTCGAGTGCAATAAGAAGAAGGAGGAAGGATGACAAGAAGATGCAGCAGCAGCAGCGGCAGGCCCTCCTCGTCGTCCTGGTGGTGGTATTACTAGTACGTCGCAGCAGTTGTCGTCGTCGTAGTCGTAGGTGGTGATGGTGGTAGTAGTAGTAGTACTAGTAGCAGCACCAGCAAAAGCAGTAGTGGCAGAAGGATGGGGGTGGGGGGAGAGAAGCAGCGGGAGGACGAGGTGTGGGAGCAGGCGCAGTGGGAGTAGTTTTTCAGAAAGGGAGTACTAGCAGCAATAGTGTAGTGGTTTAACCATAGCTACCAAAGCTGGGGTATTGTAGAAGGAGTTTCGGTTGGCACCTCCTGCATGATGGCCCTATGTGTTTGACTGCATTGAGTCATTGAGGCTTGTTTGTAAGCTTCCAACCTTGATGCTGAAAGGTTGCTTCTTCTGGGTCGATTCATGTTTGGGAAGTGGGAAGGCTTGGCGTCACCTTCGACTCAGCTTCGGGTGGGGCCGTGACGTGGAGCTGCGCTGTCTCCTGCACCCCGGGCTTCATAGTATATGCGACATGGCATGGTCGCTTTTTTGAGGATCTCACGCTGGTGGGTTTGAGGCTGCGGGTTTCAGACATCCCGAGAGGCCGCAGAACAGAACCAGGTTTCGTTGATCAAAGTTTATGCAAGTCTGTGGTGGGTTCCTCTGTCCATGTGTGCGCATGTATTGCACCAATGGGTTTCTTGTTGTCTCTCACTCTCTCTCTCTGTCTCTGTTTGCTTTGCGCCACAATTGCGCAGACATGCAAAGGCGAAAGCAGCGAACACGCGGATGCAAGCAGCGATATGAGTCAAGAAATATACTCGGCTCGCCCAGGCACGAGCAAACGAACGCACATGATACACATGCATCATAATTATACATGAAACAGGTTCTGTGCGTATGCTGCTACTACACCGGCGCCGGGACCTGGGGATGGATATATATATATATATCTTTCTGTCTTTCTTTCGATCTATCTATCTATGAGCAAAATTCCATACATACATACATACATACATACATACATACATACGTACGTACATACATAAGTACATATATATATATATATTATACACACACAGACAGAGCTCGGGTGCACACGCACGCACACAATCACATTTTCCTAGCGCATTATGCAATATGCCTTTGCATTTATTGTTTTTTGGACATGTGTAGATTTTTTTGCTTAATTATGTTCATCATGTATATGTATATATAAACCTATAGATGTGTGTGTGGGTGTGTCAACAGGTAGTTGCATTGGCAGATGGAGTCCTCCGCTTGAAACTCCGGATCTCGAGGCGAGCTCTGCAACACTTCGCGCGCCACTACGGCATCAGCATGCTTCCGGAGCCAGAGGCAGGGTTCGGTCACACTCTTATGGAAGGGGAAGGGCTTTCATGGTTTATTTAGGGCTTGCGGTTTAGGGGTTTGAGTGACTGCCGGCAGAAGACGCGAGGGTCGCGGAACGCTCGCTTTCCAGCCACAGGGTTTCGACCTTTGCAGGTGTCCAAGCCACAAAGCCCGAAAGGGAACCTGCCACGGACGCCGCCCTCCACGCCAACGGACATGCTTTGGGATGGGTGTCATGTTCCACCAATTTCAGTCAGCAAACACATTTAATTTGCGTTTTGGGGGTCTGGAATCGAGTGGACCCAACATCTGATCGACGCGTGTCGACTCTCCTAGGTTTGACCCTTGAGCACCAAGATACAGCTTCCAGTGGGTACATCGTGTGGAGGGGCATCAAACTTGTAGCTGTCATGCGGCATGCATACACAGCGCGATCCTTTGGACCATTCCTCATATTCTGATGTTGGAGCGGGTCTTCGCGGCACAACTTCTCATGACAGATGCTTATTCTTGCAGGAACTTTAGGTGAGGCGCACAATCTCTTCCGCAATGATGGCCTTTGCATCGAGTTTAACGTGATTCCAGAAAAATGGTATGCACATGTGACTACTTTCATCATTGGCCTTCCTGTCCTGACATGAGCTCAGGGGTGGAGGGGCAGGCATAGCTGTAGAGCCCTGCTTCAAAACAAAGCATTTGGTGGTTCAGCATGCCAAGGCCCAAGCATAATGTAGACCCCTGTCTAATTACCCTTTCCCGTTCATGAAAGGGTATAGTACAGATCCGATTAATATGGCCCTTGAAGAAAACGGGCTATTAGTCAAGGGCCTGCATTAACTTCGAATCATGTTGCTCGGAGGACCTGAAGAAGCCGATGTTGCCGGCGTGCGAAGGTGGGATTCACTGGCTCTCATTATTCACGGTCGAACGCTCTATGACTTGTGAGAAGTCCCGATGATTCCGGAAGTAGATCCTTACAGGTAGGATACTTGGTATAAATGCCCTTAAGAATGAGATCCCGAATTCTGAGCCGATATTGAAAACTTCATGCACTTTGTGTCAGACAGCGGGTGCCTGAAAGTCAGGTTCAGGTATCCAGTTGTCTCAGCAGCCGTCATCGCAGCTGGTCTTCCGCAGCTCGGATGAGCAGCGTTGATGCGCACGATTATCTTTAGAAGCGGGTGCATTGGGGCAAAGGCTAACGGTGAGGCTCACGTCGAGGGTCGCGTGTCTCAACCATTGTCCTTGTAGTATCCCTGACAAGAACCCCTACTCAACTCTAGTTTGCACACGTGCGCTGATCTGCACATCACCCCAGGAAGGCACGGTGTGGAAGCGCACTCCGACGAGGATGGGCCAATGAAGGCCCCTCTTCTGCAAGCTATAAAACGAAGCTCCTCTATGTGCTTGCTTTGGTACAGGGCTTAAAGGCTTAAGGTTTTGACGGTTTAGCCTTCGAACCAGTCGTTAAGCCCCAGAAATTCATGTCCCAACCATCATGATGGCCCCATCCCTTCCCGCAGAGCATCCATGCCGCAACCATGATAACGTCCACCCAGACCCCATCCGCGAATGGCCAGAGCATTCATGCCTGCACGATGATTTTCCTTTCTGTTGCTCGGGATACTTCTGTTCTAAAGCGTTATGACGCACCCAACCCTCTGGTGCTCGCACACAAGTGCCTTCTTCAGTGGCAGGCGCGGTACTTTCGAGGCTTCGCACTGAGGGGAAACTGCGTTGTGGACCTTATGCTATACTGCTATACTATATTATGTTCGGGTTTCCTCAACTACGATCCCAGGAGCTGTGGCTGCTTGAGCCCGATCGGGCCAACAACGGGGCGCGCCGGACACTCCTCCGTGCGGTCGTGCAGGACACCGCGAAGACGACTGGTCATGAAGGGTCTTCAAGCGTCATGGGCGATGGGAGTGTCCCAGGGCCTTCAGAGTTTGTATCAGATATCATGCTTGCAATCTGAACGCCACTGAGCATGCTTTCCGCGTAGCAAATCAAAGCTCGTCATACCATCTGGATGGTGCTGTTTGTTCCACGTGGGGGAAATCGCTTTGAGGTCTGAGGACTCTCCGGACATCGGGTTTGAGAGATGCGCGGCTGAGATGTTGAGATGCCGGTTGGATGTGAGCATCTTCAGTGCCGCGATGTCGAGGAGCCGAAGATGCTGGCCGGCCGTGCCGTCCTGGAGATGGACTCAGGCAGATTAATCAGTGCTTTTCGTAGAAAGCCACCGAGTCTGCAGTCTACAGTGCCTCAGCTTGCGAAGAACTGCAATCCTGACTGGATCAGCCTGGCCGTAAGGAACAATTGCTTCGTGTTCAGTTTGAGTGTGTAGACACCGGAGATGTCGCTGACAGCGCTAGGTGCTGGGATGGTCGGACTTGCAGCAGCACATCTGTGTCGGACCATGACGCTGACGGCTGCAGATGCTGCCCGATGGCAATTCCTGTTTGACTGTTTGGTGGCCCATGCTTTTGAAGATTTGGCGGGTTCAATGCAGCAAGATCCAGAGGGTGCTCTTTGGACCTTGCTTCGATTCTCTGATATGCCATCTTTTAGCCTAGCCGAAGAAGGGTCGACGGTTAGCTGAATAGTAGGGGGCCACCAGGAAGTCAGCAACAAGGGGTCTGCATGATCCTCGCCTCTTGGGGCTCTCTGTGCTTTCTTGGCACTTTCAGAATATCAGGGACCTCGATGCAGGGATCCTTGCCACGTCTTCTAGAGCAAAATTGGGCCCTGAAGCTAGCACACCCATCTAATCAAGCCGCTCCAAACGCGGTCTCTGAAGGACGCTAAACCCTTTTGCAAGCCCGTTTCTTTATGAGCTTAGGACTTGGGATGCCGGCTGCTGCGCTTCAACGCCCAAAGCCTCCACACTGCCACGAATGCTTCCGGAAGGGCCAAAAGCTGTCAGGCTCTGGGAATGCAGCTCCAGCCGACGATGTTAGGGTTTACCGAATTGTGGGCTCAGCTTCATTATGCTATTCTGAAGGTTGAGGTTGAGGGGTGACCGAATCTGCATGCGGCACCTGCGGCGCCGGGTTGCAAATCGAACTGACAGGCCTCTCTGGTGTGGTTTTGGCGCTTGCAGGGCAAGCGCCACATGAAGGAACTCGAACCGCAGATGTTGCATCAGTAGCCGATCGGGTTGATGGTCACGAGAAAGGGATTTGAGTTGCAACTTCTTGTCTGTCAAGACTATGGACTCGAAAGTATGACTGCAAAACACACCTCCGGGAACATGCCACGCCTGGAGCGTCCCTTGTTGTGAGCCCCGAAGCTGCGTAGCCGTCTATCTCAAGTCCGGGAGGCCGCATCGGTCAGCGGCATCACTGGAAGACAGGTTCCTGTCTACGCCTCTTGGACTTCGAGGCTGGGTAGGTAAGCTTTTCCCTCCTAAGTATAACATCTGTTTTGTGGCAGTTTGTATTTATTCATTTTTTCCAGAGCCCTGCAACAATGCGCCAGGGTACTGGGACCCAAAGTGGGAGGAACTCTCCGTCATAGTATAGACCTCAGCCAAGCTTGCCTGAGGGTTAGGCATCCGGGTCCCGGTAAAGCCTTAGAATTTGGGATTCGGCCTCAGGGTCTTGGGATGAGGGTCCGGGCTTAAAGGCTACAATGGCGCTGGGGGATGAGTGCAGGGATTGGAGCCCAGATGGAACCGGGGGTTGCGGACGGTCGGGGCTTGCAGCTTTCGCTTTTGTTTTGGGTCGTCATTGAATGCCAAGGGAGAGAGCTGTGGAAGTTGAACCATGCCGGTGCGACAGCAAGTCAAACCTGTGACCCCAGCTTTCCCACGAGGATGAACTGCAGTTGAGAAATGGATAACACCTTCTCCCCCAATAAAGCGTACTGAGTAGTGCAGGGGGGTCGTTAAAGCATTGTGCGAAAGCCCTCACCACTTATGTTAAGTGTACAAAGCTGTAGAAACGCCTGGTGGAACCTGCGCAAGCCTCGCCGCAAGCCCCAGATAAGGTTTGGTATAAAGCCTTAGATCTTACCTATAGTCTCCATTGTAGTTCCTTCTTTGGTTTAACCAATTTTGTATCAAGGATCCTAAAAGGCACCCCAAAAAGACTACAATGGAGACTATAGGTACACTGATCAACCCGGGGCCTACATGAGGTCTACTCCATGCCTCAGTCCACCTCGGGAGCCGGTGAGCTCGCACGACAATGGCAGTGGGAGCCTTTGTCCTCACTATTTAGGAAAAAAAGAAGGAGCTCAGGGTTGCTCAGGCGATCGCAAAAGTCCTGATGCAAAAAGGGCTTATATTATACATATATATATATATAGATATAGATATAGATATAGATATATATATATATATGTACTAGGACTACTAGGATTGCTGAGCTTCCGTGGATGAAATGGAGGGGTTATACGGGTCGGGTTTGGGGCAGGAGCCAGGATTCGCGGTTTCCTGAGAGCGCAAATGCAAGCTTCTTCCCACTTGTACTTGCATATTCATACACTCATTGTACATGATTGTTTTCACATGAGACAAGCAGGTGGGCAAAGAAGCCGAGCTTACCTACTGTGAATGGTGTCCTATCGTTACACTTGCTGGGGGTGGTGGTTCATGTTAATGATTGACAGATTCGACGTCTCCTTCTCAGGATAGCGGCACAGCAATGCGAAGCATGCGCCCTTCACTGGTGGCGCCACAGTTTGATGCCCCTTGGCGGCCTCGTCAGTATCTATACTTCCTTCAAAAGCACGGTGCATTGCGCGAATTGACGATGCTTTGTCCCACAGCTGCCCGTATGCCGAGAACATTATCAAGATAGAGACAACAGCTCGAATGCCCACCTTGCCTTGTCCGAGTCGTGAACACGGAAATCGCCACATCTCCAACTTAGCACGGAAGGTATCATCGAAAGGGGTGAGTATGTGGGTTCATTCTGTAGAGTCTGTAGAGTGCCTGCCCACGGAGGGTGGTCGACGTATGCCGTGAACCCAGGTGATGCTGCACGCTGGTCGGATCGCCCCCGAGGCGCGGTATCAACATGTCTTTGCTCTAGAATAGTTATGACTATAAGTACAAATCTTACAAACTCTTCCCAGAATGCAGTCCAACACACTCCATTCTAACTATCAGGTAGTTATGCTGATGCCGTGTCAGGCTCTGCGATCAGGAAGGGCGAGTCTTGGAGTGGGTAAAAGCACTTTGAGATGAGTTGAGAATTCCGATGTCTTGAAGCGTTTGCCCGAGCAGCGGGCCGAGCCTGCAAGGAGAGTTGGCAAAGTCCGGATAGAGCTGCCTTTTAGAAGCCCTTTGAATTACGGAATATACCTTAAACCTTAAATGTCCTTCATTTATAAAGGGATCCCGAATATGATTTAGGGTATATGTATATTATTACATCTCCACGGGAGATTTCCCACCACATGGCAAGCTGGAGCACGATGAACTCGTAACTACGGCCGAGATGATCCACGATGGTCCTTTGTTGGACCCTCTGTTTCAGTACGTCAACCAGAAATCCTAACATTATTAAAGATGTTATGTTCTAGTACAGTGTAACATATAACAACACGTCGTTATACCACCTTATATGATATAAACTGCCTATAAACTGCATTAACGTATAATGCCATGTTATATTATGATATCATGTTACCGCTTGAAAATTGCGACAGGCATTGCTGGAGCTTAGCTGCGAGCTGCTGACGTTGGGAGGTGTTCTCCTCGTGGCCCCTGGGCTGAGATGTCTGGACGGGGTCGGAGATGAAGGCTTGAAGCGCGGGGTGGTGCTTAGTAATTCGAATAGGGCTTCGGTGGTTTATCATAAAAACATGTTACTCAGGAGCCCTAAGGAACAATATTGGAAAGTACATAGGTTTCTATGTTGCGTGTTCTTTTTTGTTTTGGGGGGGGGGGGGCTGCTTGACGTTTTTGTTGCGTTGGGGTTGTTGTCGTTTGTTTCCCCATGGCCGCTTGCAAACCTTAAGCTGTAATTTCACCGTGTGGCTTCATGCATTTATAGGCATCTGACTCTAAACGCCACGAAGCGTCAGCTGCGAGCAGACATGGGCAATGTGAGGGCAGCGGACTTGGCAGGTGTTCAAAGCTGAGGCCTGTCCCAAACTCAAGCATCCTTAGGACACAAGTCGATCACCGGCACCTAGACCTAACGAGCTTCATGCAGAGGTGGGAAATGTCGTCGACGGCACCGATCTGGCAGAGCTGGTGCACACTTCAAGACAGGCATCAACGTTGATGCACCTTGCTAGGGCACGCGTCAGTGCATCTGTTTCGGACAGCAGCAGGTTTAAGATCACATGCTTCTCGCGAATGAAGGTGAAACTCTTCAGCGTCGAGAGAGATGAGGCTGGCCTAGTCTCTCTGCCATGGCACTTAAATCAATAGCGTTTTGCACCAGAATAAGCACATGCTGTCGTAGCCCTCCTTGTGCTAGTTGCAAGACCGTGGTCGGGATGTTCCTGCTGAGCTCGAACAAAGAATGAATAAGAGCGAATCCATATTGATAGGGCCATGGGGCTTTTCAGCACCTTTGCTTGGACACGTGTTCTGTGTAGGGTAGGAGGCATTTTATGCCAACCAGGGACTGGTAGAGTTTGCCATGTCGAGTTGTGCTGGCGGCTGTGGGTTTCCACGGTCTTCCCTTGCTTCACTCAGTTCGACGAATGATTACCCGACATGCAGCAAGGTGCTCCGCGACGAGGCTGAGGGCTACTTCCGGCTTCTGCAGCTCAGGAGGCGGCGCTGACGCCGGCGCTGCTCGGCTCGGGGCTCGGATGGCAACGGCCAAAAAAGCCAACTCAACCACCACGCGGCAACGGTGCCAGTGTTACCGATGTCTGTGTGGTTTGGTGGTTTTGAATGACCGGCCTGACCCCAATCGCAATCTTCTATTCAGCCGGAGACATCTCGCTGGGAGATGCTTTGGGTCTTTGTCGAGTGAGGTTCCTAGGGATTGCTAGATGCCAACGAGCATTCCGCAGCCCACCGAATAACGCTCCCGACTTTCAGAAAACGCGCATCCGTGCTGTCTCAGAGGCGTGGAACCTGTCGGTGGCGCGCCCTCGCGAGAAGACGATGCCCATCAATTCTTTATACTTTAGTCCTTCTCTGCTTCGGCCCTGTTAGCCTGCCTTTCTGCAGACTCCAATGAGTCCATCCAGAAAGTTCAGGTTTTGGGGTTGCTTGCAGATTGAACTGGAGTTTGTGGGAAGTTTGGTAGGCCCAGGTGTTCCATGTGTACATATTTGGAGCGCTCAGAGGGCTTGAAGTGAGCCTTGTTAGTAGCTTTACCTGTAGTTGCCTCGCGTGGTTTCGTGCAGCGTAGATGCTGCAATCGCATGTAGGCGCCGGCGAGCGCAAAACGACACATCTGCAGACGCCCCATCCTCTCCACTTCTCAGCTCCGGTGCGACTCTCTTGCGGTCCTCTGATGTCATGTCGAAGCATTTGCTTGGAGAGTGTGCGCAGTTCCGAGTCACATGCTCGAGGTTGAGATTAGTCACCTTTCGCCGTTGGGTGGAACAAAGACATAGCAGTAGCACTGTCGGAAGTGGTCCGGCCATGAACGGCGAAGATTACAATGGAGGCCTGGCCGGATGTTGCTCAATAATCGGATGCTGGCGGAACCTGTGCTGAGGGAGCTCCTAAGCCTTGAAGCCATGAGGCCCATGGAATGCAGAACCAGCGATTTGTGATGTTGCGTCCCGTGGAGAGCGCAGTGATGTGCGATTGACTGTCCCAAAACCTGCTCAAGATGCAACACTTCAATGACAACTGAGTGCTAGCCTCATGACAGCTAGCGATCAGGGGCAGCCGACCTGTTCTTGCAGGCGGATGAAGCAGTCCGGACACATCCAGTTTGATGTCAGGCTCCGTCATTGCGGCTTCCATGTGGCATGGCGGTCGTCATGACATGGACGCTGATGCTGTTCATAATGATGCCACTGATGATGGTGACGATGATGATGAGGACGATGACGACGTAGCTGACGCTGCTGAGGGCGACGACGATGATGCTTACGGCGACGATAGCCATGATAATACTGGTCATGATGCAGATGATGCAGTCAAGGTTCATGATGCTTTCTTGTGATTATCACGGACACTCATGCAAGCCTTTTTGGGACTGGTTGAGCCTCGAAGTTGATAGATTGTAGCCGAAGGAGTGTTTCGACGGAGAGGTAAGCCCATGGTAGATGCAAGGGGATCTCCTTCCTCAAAGTTAGTATGTTTTTCAAGGGCTTGCAGTTCGGATTGTGGGGCTTCTCTTTTTTTTGACACCTATTGAGAGCCCGTCGAAAAACCATATCATGAACCCTTCATGCAACCCTTTTACAGCAGCTTTGCTGCTTGGTGCAGCGGCTGGACTCGATGTTGGGCTGGGTCCTTAATTCTTGCTTGAGAGCTCTGCTCAAATCCTCTGACTTTCGGGCTGCAGCTATTTAGGCTGGAGCATTGTTGGAGAGCTTGGGAAACCGTCAACATCTTAAGCTCTAGTTTCAGCATGTCATCTGCTCTAGTTTCAGCATGTCATCTGCAGCCTGCAACACGTGCCCTTCTTCAAAGCAGCATGGCAAGACGAAGCAGCATTGAATGCCACAAATCCTGAACCCAGTCCGGCGTGCAAATGGCCGACTGGTGCCGGGGCTGTCGGTGCCTGGTGCATTCAGGGCCTGCAAGTGCAGATTCTAGTTGCAGACGACTACGCTGAGCTTCGGAAGGGTACTGGGACCTATCTAGCCCTTGGAGCACTCTGGCTGGGTGATCTGTGGGAAGGCTCTGCAGGTTAAAACTCTGAAGACTTCCTCGCGCAAAAAGTACACATGGTGCCAGTCCTGAGGCACTAGCATGTCTGAGTCATCAAAAGGGTGTTGGAGGATCGAGGACGAATCTCTTCTGTCTCCATGTAAACCATGGCCTTGTCATAATGGATATGACAGTTACAACATGCAAATTATCAGAAAAGGCCAGCGATGAGACACAGCAAGGGGGCCTCAGGTTACTCTCAAACCCTACTCTAACTATTGAGGACACGTGAGGACAACATATTAATCAATGAATCGCAGCCATGCTTTCCCCGCATCATTTGACAGCAGATTGCAGTTTAAAGCAAGTGTGTCCCGTTTTGCCGCTTGCCGGCCCAGGTGCTACGTGGAAGGGGATCTTTATCGGGGCTACTGCGAGCATTGCTGGGAGCAGTGGAAGGAGGCACTCCAATACTTCGAGATAGCCAGGGCTAGGGTTTAGGGGTTTGGGTTTAGGGTTTAGGGTTTAGAGTTTAGGGGTTCAGGGTTTAGTAATTAGGGTCGGCGGTGTCCAGAGCCCCAGGCTCTTCGATCAAAGCGACTGTGCAGGACGTTGAATCGTTGAGAACGTCAGCCTGTCATTCCTGCTGCTTGCGTTAAGTTGAGTGACGCTGAGAGAGGGAGCCTTTCCAAACGGGGGCACATGGAAGAGATTGTGTGACTCTGTGCATATTGTGCACATGAACAAGCAACGACGAAGTGTACATTTTTGCCAGAATCTGAGGTACAGTAGTTATACTTGTACCGTAGAATATGTTGCATGTGTCCCTGGAGAATATCTTCCTGGCAGTTTGTATTCGACACTAAGTTGTTTGATATCGGAAAGTCCCCGACCGAAGTTCTCTTTGTGTGCTCTTCATTTGGGATTCATTGTTTATTGTAGGGCTTAGGGTTACAGACTTTTGCATTAAAGGCACCCAGTACCTCCACGGCATAATCATGTGCAGCGGTCCCATAAAGTGCGCTGGAACGACATGCTGCGATATTGTTGTCGTTGCTTTGACACTACACCTTAAACGAAACCGTGGGCCATAAAAATTGCCCCCCCCCCCCCCCCCCCATGTCATCGAGAGCGCGCGCGAGGCACGCACAGGCAGCAGCCAGCACCCGTCTGCACCGGACGGACGCAGCTACTTTCGCATTACCAAGCTGCCCGTGGGAGAGCTCCAATTTTCCCAGGAGCCGCGGCTGAAGCACAATCATCTGTTTCGAGCCCGAGTAGCTGCTGGGGGCTGAAGGGCGATTTTGAGAACTGCTATCGCTAGCTGCAAGAACTGGAACGCCCACAAGTTTCTTGAGTGGGTCTCTTGTTTCAGGAATTTTGCAAGGTACATGCACCGGTCAGGTTTCCGAGAAGGTCCAGTATGAAGGTTGAGAGTTTAGAGGGAAGGTTCTCGCACTTTCCATGCTGTGTCAGCTTTTCGATTTCCTTTTTTGCCTCCGCGACGTATCTTTTTAGCCCAATGAGTAAGTCAATGTAATCGCACCCAGCAGAGCCATGAGAAATCATGTCCTTCAGAACGCATGCTGGATCCACAGAGATGGGCTTCAGTGTCTCGCGAACCCTGAACGTGAGCGCGCCGAAGAAATTACAGAAGATTCAGGCCACCTTCTGGTGTAATATTTTGAAGTTGATAGTGGTCAGAACCGATGATCTTCACAAGTTCTTAGGCGACAATCTCGGGCAGCTTCCGCAATGGGGCATCCTTGAGTGAGACAGAAAGCATGCTGCGCATGAATCCGGACTTGGCATCTCGACAGCAAGGGTGGCAGAAAGCCAGAGAGATCTCACGGGCTTTCCTCTTGGGGTTTAGGGTTTAGGGTTTGGGGTTTAAGGTGGTCGTTCCATGCAGGGGTTAGTTGAATTTCTAGCCTGCTCCAGCGCTGCGGTTTCATCAAGATCCTCAATCAGCCTCCGAACTTGAAGAAGGAAACCGGGCACTGTACCTACCTGAAAAAGTCCAAAACCCTGACACTACAAAATCCCCCAGGTAAAAAGGCTGGTGATTTTTGGAGCCCCACCCGATTGTAGGGAAATGTGTGCAGGTGCACAAGATTCCCTTCATCAGCGTGGTCCGGGATGCGGGTAGACTGGTTTCTATGGACAACAGACGGCTGTACACCTTTAGAATGGCCTTTGATGACGATCACCAGGCTGGGACGGTGGGTTCCACAATTTGCTTTGGGGGGGTTTGCGTAGTGGCCTGCTGCAAGGGGTTCCATCTCAATAGCTATGATTCGTACGCTATGATTCGTACATGATGTCACAGCTCTTAGCCGATGCGCTTCTGTTACACAGCTATACTATAATGTATGCGTGCCAGTGTTGGTTCACACATGTATGCCTACCCTCTATATTATTTGCCCTGTCGATCCAGAGTGACATACATCCATACGTCAAGTTCAAGCGGTGTGATGAGGGGGATGTAATCTGAACAGACACCCGCTCTTCTGAGATCGCAGGTCCCCATCAAACTCTTCGACAGCAAAGAAGATTTCGGAGTGGACGAGTTCGATCGTAAAGCAACGTCCATTTGCGGTGGGCATCTTGTTGAAGTCCGTGACGAGAGCGCAGAGAAGGACTGATTTGTATGCCTCTGCTCTTGTAACATGAGCTCCATGTGTGTGTGTGTGTTCGCACGCATGTACATACGCATGTATTCTACGTGGTGTAATGTATTGTGTTGCAATATATGTAAGTATTTGTGGAGGTAGCGAGGTAGGTGGGTAGGTAGGTATAGATAGGTAGCAGGTAGGTAGGTATCTACGTATGTACTCGTATGTAAGTATGTATGTACGACCTATGTATGCGTGCCTGTATGCTTGTGGTCTGGATTGCAAGTATGTAATGCAGTGTACTAGTAATGCAATGCAATGTAATGTAACGTACCGTACTGCAATGCAATGTAATGTACCGTACTCCAGCGTGCTGTTATGCATG